GCAAATACATACCACAATACTTGTCAATCAAGGATTGGATAGAGACGGTGATGTAACAAAGACCCTAAGTCAAAGGCATTCTGATTTATCTCAAGTAACATGATTAGCTAACAACACCAATCCAGGGGATTTTGAGCTGGACAAAGTAATAACATGGCATCAGTACTCCGTAGATAACTCGGGATGTTATGGTGATAGCTTCAGATCATGTGATTGTTGATAAAGAGCTGGTATCATTCCATCTTCAACACTGCTATTCCCCTGTGAGATCTATTTAGTACAGTAATCTGGTGAAAAATAGAATTTCATTCAGCTTGGAAGTTAAAAATGTATACAAATCATTAACTCCATGTATTTGAAAGAATACTATATTGCTGAAATGTGAGCAGTAACTTTGTATGGGAACTACGCTACTGACGTTCTCCATCGTCCTAAGCGCCACCCTCTACACTACGGAGTACTCCCACTTCCTCTTCAATCGCCCCTACCGAGAATCATCGATGTTCTTTGTTCTGTTGCATTAATCATATCTGTGTCATATCCAGAAAAGGACTATATGACGGCCTTTGATTGAATCATACCTGAATATTCCTGGTCCGTGTGACCCCTATGTTGTGAGCATTTCCGAAGCCTCCTGATCGACAAGGAACCCGGTACTTTGAGTCTCGATCCCCTAGATCAACGGGACCGCTGTCGAACTCGATCTTATCTTTGCAACTCAGACAGGACCTGAAGCCCACTTTCTTCGATAACGCTTCTTTTGAAGAGAATCTCGACGCCTGGACACCTTGCTGTGGCAATCAAGCTTCACTGGCTCGCCCATCACGGCGCGGCCTCCGCACCTAACGTATCCTCAAGTGGAGGAAGAAGACGACGACGACTTCTATACCGCACCGCCTCCGCATTCCCCCTGCTCGGAAGCTTCCTCCTCCAGCTTCGTCTCATCTCGTCCGCCGCCTTTCTCGTCACTTGTATTCAATACTGTGACTGATCACAGTCACGCAAAGGTTACTGTCACCGAGTCTGCTTCGGATACTCTCTCAACACCTGCTCCTCAGCCTCTGCTCGAAGGGTCCCAGTATCACGATTCTTCATCGCCTATAGTTGCGGAAACCAAAGCCTTTTTTCAAAAAGGTGAATCCTCCGGCGCGAAATCAGCGGAGGACGGAGAACCCCCTCCACCATACACTGAAGGGTCAAGTCCCATTGAATCATTCACATACGTGATGGCTGCGGCAGGTGGCCCGTCGAGTATTATCACTCAGGTGCAACAGGCAGGAGGGCCGCCTATCAACACATTAGGAGGTATGCAACTCTATCGATTTTGGCTATTAATAGAATGGAATTGCGATGGACGAACGCAGTTTTTGTGATTCGAGTATCACTAACAGTTCTATTCTATGAGCTTTAGACATCGGTGGTGACGAGCATATCACTCTTGAATTGCGGTGAGGGCGCATCCTTGTGACAACCATACAAAAACTGTTCTCTTAAAAAGCTAATTCATCACATAGAGGTACTCGGTTTACACTCTCGAGAGATGAGCTGTTGACCCTGCCTGAATTTGTCCTTCTGTCACTGTTTCCTAACGGTCTTCTGCCTGATGGACATATGGGCTCATTTCAAGAGGGTGACATCTATCCCGTTGACGTATGTCAAGTCTTTCCGCCATTCTCTTTGTCTAAATGGATGACAATGGCTCACAATTGCCCTCTTAGTATGATCCCACATCTCTCCAGTACATGTTAGATTTCTTCCGTTCAGTTGCTCAGTCGATCCCGTCATCTTCACCTTCAGCCTCGACTTCTCCCGAATTAGAGATGTCTGAAACGGTGCTGGGATCACCAAGAGACATACTACAAGATCGGGCCGGAATCATCGTCCTACGTGAGGACCTCGATTTCTATGCGATACCACCACGTCCTGACATCGACCATACGGAGATGATGGAGGTCAAACGTGCCGTGGGCAGGGCACTTCTTAAACAAGACGGGATATTTTCCGGCCTGAAGAAGAGCGATGAGCCTGGATCGACGGAGCAACATCTTATTGAGATGCTCACTGCAGGGTAAGCACATCAAACTCCATCAAATCTGCAAGTATATTCACAGAGTGCAGTGGTTTTGACAGAGACGACCGGTGGGGTCACCGTGCTCCCGAACCCAACAAGGCGGTCATTTGCAGCCTTGCATTGGCTAAACTTCGCACCGACGTCAGAGGCGATCTGTCCAATAACAATGCGGTCGGCATGGCACAGAAACTTTTATTGTTCTGGAGAAAACCAGCCAGGAGATGCTGGTGGGAGGGTGTCGAACTGGAAAATGTCGACGGCGTCGAAGGCAAAGTAAAAGTGTGGATTCGGAGAGTTTGGACGCTTGAAATGGTAAGTTAGCTTGCTCTGGTATATCGCCATGGTTCTAATCCCTCGACAGAGCGTTATTGGACTCCGATAGTCTTCGCCCTGTGATTCGACACGTTTGCAGCCAGCGCATCCTCTGTTTATCCCCTCCATGACGCTGTACAGTTAAAAAAAAAAATTCAGCCTTTGTCCTTAACCCGTCGCTTCATTTTTTCGTTTGCCAAGTTGACGATATCCCCTTTATTTCCATGTCTGCATCAGACAAGCGAAATGGCGTATTCAATTTATTGGGTGCTTGTGTATTCTGCTCATTGTCTTCACTAGCTGGCGGGACTCCATGCATTGCTTTCTTTGCTTTCCTCCTTTTTCCCTATGTCATACATATAATTCACATAAGCTCTTTCCATCAACATCATGAATAGTCGTTAATTTGTCAGAGGTGTTGGCTAAAATAAGAGAAGAGCACTGGCTTTGCATTTTAAGTTTCTGGTTTAATGTTCCAGCTCTAGCAGTTTTCAGGCTCAGATCTCCCCATAATCAGAAAATAGTAATAGAAGTCCCTTGTACTGATCCTGTCGTCACTTTTTGGTCCATAACTGTCGTTAGAACTCTCCATTATGTGATGCACGTGACTATGCTGCTGGATTTGGTCTAGCGTAGATCAGAAACGCGACAAGGCAAAAAAGGCGGAGCATTGACCGCGATCACCATACAGAAGGAGCTTTAGCATAACCTCTCTGAAGATCAGATTGTTTGGTATCGAACTCGACAGACCAAAGTTGCAGGACATCGCAAATCCAGTAAGAGCCGTCGGACTCTTGAGGCGACTGCATTGATCACGTTCGCAGCACTCTGTCTCAATCAAATTCAATTCCTCGCTCAGTTGAATTCCTGGCCATTGTTGATTCGCATTTTCAGCAACCTCTTCTTGCACGCTTCCCGAGGGACATGGTTTTGTCCTCCTAAACGGCCAACATGTCCCCCCTCAGAGGCTATATCACGTCCTATCCTCCGCGAATACGCCAGTACTCGAACGCATTGCTCACGCCCGTCATTCCGCAGACTCAAGTTGGCCCGACGCCGCGAACGACGAAACGAGGCACTACTGCGGTGAACTATGCAGAGGATGGCTTCGACGATGATGACTTTGATGACAGTGAAGGCCCCAGAAGGCCCACTGGTCTAAGAAGTCTACGGCGCGAAGAGTCGGCAACAGACAAGACCCCCTTGGCCGAGAAGTTGGGAAAAGAAATCCATGCCCCTGTGGAGGTCCAGGGAGTTTTCCGCGACTGGATGATTAAGAGGATGTTGCGACCAGCGTATGTATTATTTGACTCGTTTTGACTCGTTTCTCTGGGCTTGCTTGCCCGCTGAAAGGCATTCACGACCGAGCTGACCTAACTTTTCGTGCTACAACAGTTGTGCCGACCAGCTACAAATTCAAGCGCAGCTCCCCCTGACCCTCATACCGATTCGTATCGACTTGGAGGTCCCAGCGCATCAGCCTCTCGAGCCATTTCCCATTCCGCGAGGTGTGGTGGATCCTGGTATCAACCCTACCCTTCCCGGATACCGAAGACCAGATCCCCTGCCCGCCTTCCGCATCAAAGATACGTTTCTGTGGAACCTTCATGAAGCTCTGGCGACTCCTGAAGAATTTGCGATGGGCTTCGTGCGAGACTTGGACCTACCGAACCCCCAAGCGATGACTCTCGCAATCAGCAATCAGATACGCCAGCAGTTAGAGGAGTACGCTGGTGTTGCACTACATCCATTATTTCAAAGTACACAATCGAGGCCCGCTCCCACTTCGCAGACAAATCCATCTCGGGATGTGTCCGCAACGCCAGTTCCTACGCAAGCTGCAACACCCGACAACAGAGCAATTGGTGTATCGATAACAAAAGAGGCACTAGTTAACGACAGTATACTAAACCCGGATGATGCATACCGGTGCCTGATCAACCTCAACATCAATCTGCAGAACAGGCTGTACACAGATAAGTTTGAGTGGTCCTTGTTACACCCTCCCGGCATGGCAGAGGAATTCGCGTTAGTCACCTGCGCCGACCTAGGCCTGGGCGGCGAGTGGGTTGGAGCCATTGCGCATGGTATCTACGAAGCTGTCTTGAAATTAAAGAAGGAAGTGTGTGAGAGCGGAGGAATGATCAGTGGCATGGGTGGGTACGGAAATGAGATCGATAACCAAGCTGCCAATGGCACCGAGGCTGGTTGGCGGTATGATCCCGAAGGACTAGGCGATGAATGGGAACCCAAGGTAGAAACTCTTTCGAAGGAAGAGATTGAGAAGCGAGAAGGAGACCGCGAGCGCCAGATCAGACGTCTACGGCGAGAAACAGCCCGGTTCTCTTCCACCGCAGGCATCACACCAGATATGTCGCGGCAGGGCAGTGGTTATTTCGACGTCGATAGTGAGACACCGCTGGGTAGAGGCGAAAGGAGCAAACGAAAGAGGCGCTTCCGCAGCTTAAGCCCATCGGGAAGGGGAGGCACTCCTGGTGGACGAGGCACACCGGATACCGGTTCGGGGCTGGATATGGCGGAGGTGGAGGTACATTATCGGATTGGTATGCTTGCCGATCGTTAATCATGTGATGTTTCACTAGTGCTAACCAGCTTATTTCTGTTTCAGGGAACGTCAGAGTTGGAGATGCAGCAACTGTATGGTATGGGGTTCTGCGGTCTGGGCTGTACGAGATGGTCCTGCTGGTCCAAGAGTGAGCAAGCTCCTACCACAATTTGAGATTCGAGTCGTGGCACTAACTTGTTATGTATAGACTCTTTGCCACAATTGCGGCCTATTGTACGAACGTGACAAGGTCACCCCGGAATGGTCAAGAGACTTGCATCGCCACGATGTACCAGTTGGTCGATAGTCGCCAAAGCTGGCTGCCAACTATCTCTATTCCCCGGAATTTCCATCGCTGCGGCGTAAATTTGTTCCTCATAAACCAGGCCAATCGATCCATCGAACTCAACAATCGGTATCCCTGGGGATTCATCCATAGCGGCTAGAACTATGAAGCTGTCCTTTTTCTTCCCATAGCTACTACATGATCTTTGGGGGCATAAGTCATGTATTTCTTCTTCTTTTCTCTACTATCATTCCCTTTCCTGAGTTTGGCACGATATCTCTCATGAACCTTTTAAAGAGGCAGGACTCCGGCGCATATGATTTTGACTTTTACTATTTCCAGCTTAATTACCCTTACCAGCATTAGCTGCCGGCCCGTTGTCTGAAAAGTTGCCTTTTCTTGTGGAATCGAGCATCATTTGGTCGGATTTGTTTGAAAACCATTTACTTCTATAGCTGTATTCTGCAAGAGAACCATTTCACCTGGTTGGTGTTCAATACCGGCACCTTGTTCACTTTCTGCTTGGGGCTATGCTGGAGTCGTCTTGACATAGTTTTCCTTGGTCTTTCAAGGCAGGTTAATCTGACGCTGTTGCTGTAATATTCTGCGGAGCGCATCATGCTATGAAAACTCAGCTACAGGTCTCGCCATGGATGACTTTCGGGCCATTTGGACAGTTTCGGCATAGAACATGATAGAAGGAATGCTCTTAAACGAGAACTCGATCAGTCGTCAAAGAATAGTATTGGTCATTCAATTAGTTAGTGGTACATAAGCGCTGACGGTACAGTTTGCAGAGGCGCAGGACATCTCAGTAGATAGTAAAGGAGTGCTTTTCTCTATAGATGCTTATGCGAGACCTTTCAAACACAAACGCCCTGATGCATTTTGGCAACCAGAATATCAAGACATCACATACGGAAAACATGAGTGTCCGTGGAGGAGCCAGAATTGAAATGGTCTCCGCGACTATTGCGTACAATTCTTCTTGGACTTCGGTGCTTCGAACGGCTCCTATATCAGATTGTTAGCCAAAGAATACACAATCCGGCAACTTGATAAGTGGTGAAGGTGCAAATGACATACTGATAGGGCTCGTCTCTTTCGGTTTGGAGCGACTTGTCGATCTTTGTCCGTGCCCATCTGGGCACTCTTATTGCTCTGTGCCCGGACCGTAGCACCAACGCAAATGACGTTGCGGCTCCCCTCGACCTTGATTCCCGTGTTGATCTTTATTTCAAGCGGTGCGGGTTCGTGGTCTTCTGCCGGGGGCGCTAGCCGGCCCGAATCGTACAAGGCATTGATGATGGAGGTTGCCATTTCGGTCAGTCTAACCTGGCGTTGCTTCTGGACCGAGTGCAGAACGTTCGCCTCAGCAGCTGCTGGTGAAGTGGAAGTAGAGGAGGATGAACTCTCGGAATTCATTGAAGTAGAAACTCCCGGAGTTTGCTGAGGGTGGCCTGCCATAGACGGGATCATGATGGTGTTGCCGTTGCCCACCACACTAATGGAGGCGTCAATGCTAATCGTAATAGGAGTGAAGCTGGCACCGGCGCAGGTTTCCCAGGCCGTATCATCGTCGATGGTCTCTAGTGCATTCTGTCTCTCCTCATGGGTTGAACCTCGTGGGACCGTTGAAGAGTATGGAGGTGGTGGTGTGCAGACCACACGGTTGCGCGCGTTAGCGGCCACTTCTCGAAGCTTGTGGAAGTGATGCAAGAAAGAATCCGACGGTGGCAGCATCTTTCTATACAAGCGAAGTAACTTTCAAAAAGTATTGCGGCAGCTGAGGCAATTCGCAGGCAAGATTTTGGAGTGGACCTTAGATATGATGCTGTGGTCCGAAGAGCCGTCTTTAGGTTGGTACCACAGAAATCAAACTTGAAGATAGATTGTTAGAGGAAGCTATCTCTTAAAGGAGAGCTTGCTGGTTATATAACCCATGATAGACATTAGCGGCACCTAGCTCAAGATCAGTTGGAACAATAGCATGCAAGATGTTATTGATGCAGACCAAATGACGACAGCCCACTTTTCCCAATAGTTGGGCGAAGAGCAGCAGTGCATCAATAGTTGCTGGCGATTGTGTTTATTCGCTAACATGTTAAGTGTGGTTGGTAACAATACCCCAGCCTCCTTATTGAGTTCGTATTGTTCTTGCCCATCAATAGGCAGAATAGGATCACGTGAAGTCAAGTCATTTGTCAACCCCCTTGAACATCAGCCCAGTAAAATTGTTGTAAAGGGATAAGAAATAGCAGAAGATTACTATTCTATTGATGCAATCCCAGTCAATGATGGAGGCTGGAAGTCGGATAGATGCAGAAAGGTAGGTAATGAAACATTCGTCGCTGGCCTCCATCAAGAGTCTATGGAGGGAGAAACAAATGAGGGCTGGTGCAATGAATGCTACCAAAAAGGAGTACGCCCACTGCCATGTCCAAGACTGATTTGAGCTCAATACACCTTGAACGCTCCTTAGTCTCACATATCGCATTATTCAAAAAGGGACGGCAAAAAGCTGATTGGGTATAATGTCCAATAACCAGATAGGCTCAAATTCCGCCATAATTCCAACTCGCGTAGAGAGAGTTATCGTCGCCCAACCCTGCCCCAGTTGATGACGCACTGGGTATATCCCTGGGCGCTGCTTTCGAAGTCGCTATGGATTCGACGGTATCCGGTGTAGAAGGGCTCACTTGCGGACGATCTGCTTGGCACATTGTATCGCGTCAGGCCTTGGATTGGTGCACTGTCATCCCGTACGCAGTATACTGGGTCCCTCCAATGTGTCGGACTTACTGATATCGCTCAAGGTAACGCTGTCGGGCTCATCCTGACGTGGTGGAATTGATGTCTGTTGCCGCTGCGTTTGTTGCTGGCCACTGGGATAATATTTACCGCCGGGATGTAGTGACTGCGACGTCTGGTCATGAATTAGCAGGAACAAGAGCCCATATGAATGGAAACATTTTTTACCAGCGTTCGTGCCACGCCAGCCGAAATATGAGAGATCACGGACTGGTACTGACTTCACGAAACTCGTCATCCTCGATCTGGACTTCGCGATCCCGGATGCGACGCATCAGCGCCAGGAAATTACTCTGTCTGAACTTTTCACTCTGGTCGTGGCTGACACTGTCAAGTAACTGTCCTGCAGTCCTAGCGAGTTCATCCGCATCGTTGACGCGGCTTAACAGGTCGTTCTTGTCGATTTGTGGTATCGTATCTGACCCGATCTTGATTTGCTCGGTGGACTCTTGAGCTGTCCTTAAATCGGGCTGGATCGTCTCGCTTGCAGGCTCGGCCTTCTCCTCCGTTGCGTTCGTTTCCTGTAAGGCCACGTCCGCTCTTGCTTGTTCAAAGGCAGCTTCGAAAGCCGATTCATCAAATGTCTCTGTGGCGTGTTGCTGGTCGGTTGCCGGCCCATGTACAGAGGGCAAGGTGTTCATTACCCCTCCATGTATGGGATGGTGGTGTGAGAAAGATGGTTGGAAGCCTCCCGTGTACTGTTGATGTTGCTGTGTAGCTGCTGGGTGTTGCTGCTGTTGTTTCAGGAATTCACTGTGCCAACCTTGTTGTGACATCGCCGACAGCGGGATTGTAGATGGGTCATGATGCTGCTGAATAGGATGGGAAGGTCCTGAAATATGTAGTCTCTGAAAGTCGGCCGCCCAGGTCACATTCTCGGCGTGGCTAGCCACCGGAAGCTGGTGGGGATGTGCTGAGAAAGGTCCTGCATGTTGTAGATTGGGAAGTGACGGTCCGGCCAGATCGGACTCAAAGGCAGCAAACTCGGGGTCTAGGACACCGTCGCTCAAATTCTGGGATCTGAAGCCCTGTCAAAGAAGAGTGTTCAGCCAACCGGTTCAGTCCAAATCAAAAAGCGTTCCGGGTGAGTCGCAACCTTGCTTACCTGAGAGGGCGACCGGCGGGAGATCAGCCGATCCTGTTGGAGAGTCCGATCAATAGATGCATGTTTCTGGAAGTTCTGCAAGGCATTTGACGGGCCGCACAAAGCATCACTCATACTGGCAGTGACTTGCAGCACGGTAGCTGGGCGGGAACAAGTCCTTGGAAGGTGGAAGAAACGGGTGATCGATCGTAGAACGGACTATGCGCTACGCCTCAACTGTAATGAGGTGCAGAAAAGAAATATGTCCAAAGATATGTCTATTCAAAAAGTAGAGAAGTAACTTTCTAGAGTGACTGAGGAATTATACTCATGTAAAATGCATGAAGAGGCAAGATAAAGACGGGCTAGAGCAACGCCCGTGGGGTAGGTTGGCCGAGGGTCAAAGCCGAGGCCCGTCTCACGTGCTTCTAGGCGTTGGCCACTGAGTCTGCCTCAGCTGATAACGTAATTCCCTACCGAGTCAATCAACACCCCCGAGCCGATCACCTTGTATTCCATGTAAAATGGCCGTTTTCAAGGCCCTAATATCTCAACAACTAGCATATATTAGGAAGGGCCAGTGGAATATTTAGGATATATATACTAAAAAAACATATTATACTTATTTTGTAAGTCTCTAAAACGTTGTTTTTCTCTTTAGAAACCTAGAAAATATAAAATACCAAAAAATACAGGCGTCATTACTAATACCTGGAGAAATACCTATACCGATAGGCTATATGGCAAAGATATATGAGTATATTACTATACTATGATCTATGACTAGATCTAGTCCCCTGTAAACGCTTTGTTATTGAGATATGAGGCCTTGCAAATGGTCGTTTTTATATGGAATACAAGGTGATCGACTCGGCAGGGAATTACGTTAACTATTGTAATCAGTAAGGAAGCTGCCATTGCAACTGAGCCACCACCCAAGATTGGCCGGAGCCAAAATTGAAGCTATTTTCAACCCCTAAAATATGATTATATTACTAAATCTAGCTATTCTTGTGCTGTGGATATTGTAATTACTTATAGCCTAGAATATGGCAGTTACTGCAGCATAGGGGCGCCTATTGAGGGTGTTGTTCTGCATCTACTGCCTGCTTTATAGGGATAGATAGGATAGCTTTATTAGCTCAAGTGAAACGGACAAGCTGGCGGGACGGATTACGGAAGTACCTGTTTGCATGTTGATTTCGATCCTCCACCGCCGCTATCTTCATCCCTCCTCGGACTCGTCTAGAACATCAATACAGTGAGATATATATCTCTCGAGCTACTTTTATTTTTTTATTTTTTCCGTCTGTTGCAGTAAGACTTGCTTCGGGCAGTCCCATTGGTCATCATGGTATGTTTATTTCGGGCAGCTCTTCCCCCCTTTAAGCTTCGCATTGTTCTCTTGTTAACATGTCCAAAGGCAGCTGCTCAGGTTATTTCGAACTCTGGTCATGATGATATGATTGTACGTGATAATGCGCCATGTCAATTCATGATATTACATCATGACCCGCGGGACTAACTTGATCGGCCCTTTCTTGCAGCACGACGCCGGATTGGACTACTATGGCCGCAGATTAGCAACATGTTCGTCGGACAAGACAATAAAGATTTTCGAGATCGAGGGGGAGACACATCGCTTGGTTGAAACGCTGAAAGGGTGAATTACCTCGGCTCTAATGGCTCAACTTTCTAATTGCTAACACGGGCATCTTCGGAATCAAAAGACACGAAGGCGCGGTGTGGTGTGTGGCATGGGTAGGTTTGAGCTTTTCATGCAGAGTCTCCTTGTCGATTTGCATGGCTAACATGTTGTTCTACTCTTCGTTTTAGGCTCACCCCAAGTTTGGCACGATTCTGGCCTCCTCTTCGTACGACGGAAAAGTGCTTATCTGGCGTGAACAACACCAAAACACGACATCCCCCGTTGCAGGCAGCACCTGGACAAAAGTTTTCGATTTCTCCCTCCACACTGCGTCGGTGAATATGGTTTCCTGGGCTCCACACGAGAGCGGATGTCTCCTTGCTTGCGCTTCTTCGGATGGGCATGTGAGTGTCCTCGAGTTCCGCGACAACAGCTGGACTCATCAGATCTTCCACGCTCATGGAATGGGCGTGAACTCGATCAGCTGGGCCCCAGCAGCGTCTCCTGGTAGCTTGATTAGCTCGAACCCTGCTCCAGGTCAGCAGCGGAGATTCGTTACCGGTGGCAGTGACAATCTGCTGAAGATATGGGATTACAAGTACGTTTTCGAGTCTTCCTGATTTGAAGCTACGACTGTACTAATGACTATACTTATAGCCCGGAAAGCAAGACTTACAACCTCAGCCAGACATTGGAAGGTCATTCGGACTGGGTCCGTGACGTCGCCTGGTCACCCAGCATTCTCTCCAAGTCCTATATCGCCTCTGCGTCTCAGGATAAGACCGTGCGGATCTGGACCTCTGATGCATCGAACCACGGCCAATGGACCAGCCAGCAGCTGGAATTCGACACTGTCCTGTGGCGGGTTAGCTGGAGCCCTAGTGGAAACATCCTTGCTGTAAGTGGAGGAGACAACAAGGTCAGTTTGTGGAAAGAGAATTTGAAGGGACAATGGGAGAAGGTAAAGGATATTGAGGAGTAGATTTGATCATTTCTTCCATTGATTTTCATTTGCCTGTTATCATATTCCCATCTTATTAAATGGTGAAAGAGGTCTGGACCATTAAGATGCCTGCATCCTGCATTCCATCGCACTTCATCCCGATGAAAGAAACACTTAAAACAGCGGATCATGAGAAAAACGAGATCATGGAAGCAGCAAGAAGTACCCACCGCCGATACTTGCGATGTGTCTCAACGCAGAATGAGTCGTCAAACATTCCAGAAAATGCAAGGACCTCGGGCGGTCGGTTCTACCATATCAATCCATCGTCCGATCGTGATCGTTCCACTGGGGAGAATAACTCCCTCGTACCCATGGATCCAATTGAATTCGACCTCCAAATCATATGGCGGCCACGCTTCCTCTGGAAGCCACAGATCCTCCTTTCCCTTACCAGATGTCTCGTCGTCGTTTGGTATAAGCGGAAGTTGTTCCCTGTCCGCATCGTAGATGGCAAAGCATATACGGCGCCAATTGGGGAAGCCACCGTCAGCGGTCGGGATGGGTTCTGTAAAGCCGCGCACCAGATATGTTGAATCGTCATCAGATCCGTGCTGCGTTTCAATGCCGCGAAAGTACGAGCAATGCGTTCTCGACCCCAGGATAGGGATGAGGCTGTCGAATAAGGTCGGCCAGTTCAACGGGTCAGGATCTAGCTTGATTCGCAAAGACTAAACGCGAACCCGATTTCAGCTACCTACTAAGCTGACTGACGTGTAGGCAGAACTTACCATAGGGTCCACCTGCGGCCAATGTGTCTCCAGGTCGGCGCATGTCTGACGGTGTTCCAAACGACTCAGCGAATCTGGATACGGATGGATGCACGCTGTAAAAAAGATTCGATCACTTCAGGTTAGCTTCTTCCTGTAGGGTGCTCGGCAGGATAAAGAATCCTCAATAACTGACAATAATACCCCAACCAATGGGTGCTAACGGGAGATTTGCTGTCGCCCCGAGGTCGTGTGGCTTTCGGTCGCTGACCCAGCGATGTATAGGAGGAGTAGAATGTCGCTTCGTTCGGATTGAGGAGATGACGAAGCCAGAAGTTGCGAATGTGCAAAATCTTCTCCAGGTCCAGCTTCTCTATATTCACAAGCGGCTCACCGACATCGACCTGGAATGAATATACGGTACCAATATCATAGTCATTCCTGAGGCAATAGAAGGCCATAGACGGATCCAAAGCCAGGTGAGTGAGGCACTAGAATGTTTAATGAGACCGTATCCAATTTTGAGACCCATATGTCGGTGAAGGGCTTACTAGCTGAACAGCATAAAACAAGTCAGAAGGCGCACCAGCATTCGTGTCGCCATATCCGCTCACAGGTCGGTTCAGAAACTCCGAGTTATGGAGTGTCTTACGAATCTGCTCGAGGAGCTTGGAAGCAGTGTGTTCATCTGTTGGGGCTGATTCAAGTGCTTCCAGAAGCATGTCTCTCAGCACTTCCAGCCATAATGTTTGCTCCTTCTTCTGGCCGTATCGGAAGTTGATCTTCTGAGACAGCACAATAGAACGAATCTGATACTCCAGTTTGAGCTCACTTGAAGAACGTCTCTGAGGGATACCGTAAAGGTCCTTGAATCGCTGGCGCCAGATGGACGAGTGAGCAGGTAAGATCGCCCTAGCTAGGTGGACACAGCACGACACCAGATTGACTATATCGACATCGCTTGGGAGAAGATATGCAATATACTGTATTATCTGTGTTAATGGCGTTAGACACTAGTCCATCTAGACATTGACTCAGGGCAAGTACCTCTGTTGGAAGCTGCAGCAAGGGACTTGCGTTTTGACGACTCCGAGCTCGTGGGTCTGTCTTTCGCCGGCTTATTTCTCGACGGTGGCCTTGAGTGTCACTGCAGTTAGCTAACTCATGACTGCCGCGCATTCTGGACATGGTTGCTTGTAAAGAAGCGTGTGTGGTATGGGTGTCATGCAAAGTTGTGTTAATAAGAGACGCAGCTTCCTTGGGTTGACCAACGAGGATGTTGAAGGGGCTCTTCGCCGTATTGAGTATCCAAGAGTTGACCAACTGAAGAGTGAGGTCTTTGTGACTGGTCGCTGGTGATTGAAACGGACGAAGATGAGGTGAGTGGATGGGTGGATGACTTGGTGAACAACCGCGAGTCGGCTTCATCTCAGGCCGGTCGTCTGACTGCACCTTTCAAGCTGTCATGTTTACTTAATGTCTTGGACTCCGGGACAATAAAGGCAACCCCTCTGCTTTGATGTATCCTCTCTCATCGTCGACCTCTGAGCCCAAACATCCCTGGTTAGAAGCAGATATTTCGCTTTGTGCCTCTCCGTATCACTCAACAAATGCGCATAGCACCCCGACTTGGACTGCGCGAATCGAGAACCACTTCCTTCCATCTTTCTAAGAAAAAGATCGAATCCCGGATTCCTCAATCGAACCAGCAACAGTGATGACTGCCTACACGGTATGCATACCTACATTGGGGCCGAAAAGAGTCGGCCGCGAAACACAGACGTCGCGCTATTCGAAACATGCAGTGGCAATAACCGGTGGGAATTAATACTTCAGAGATCAGCAGATTGGGCCGATGATGCGGTCAAAGAAGTGATGATGGCAACTATGGCTCCTAGCGTCAAAAGTGTAAGAGTGACTCGAGAGATACAAGATGGGTAATCCGGTCATGCTAAGGAAGATCGCCATCCTTCTTCAGAAGTTACGGGCAAATACTTTCGCCAAAGGCTTCAAAAAATTCTAATTGAGCACATCATTTTCCAAATTGGAATAGAAGTTAGCAAGACCTACATGGCTGCCTGCTCATAGACCTAGATCCAAGTTCAGTTTAACCAACTTGCACTGTACCGCGATTTCTTGTCAAACTTTCTCTGACACCCCAACCGTTGGCGAGAAGGCCTTTGACCTCCTCCAGGCTAAGACCGCTCATTTCGGGGTAAATGGCCCAGACGCCAAACCATCCAACCACACAAACGCCCGCATAGGCTGTAAATGTCCAACCCGGAGAAAGCCAATCCATCATGGGCAAGAAGGTAAGTCCGACAATGAAATTGGACCCCCAGTTTGTTGCAGTCGCGAGAGCCGATCCAAGGGAACGCACATTCAGGGGAAACAACTCTGACTGTTGCCAGGGTACGTTGCCCAGTCCAAAAGCATAGGAGCCGGTATATACAGTGAGGCAGAGAAGCACAGCAATTGGAAGTAACGACTTATCCGTGGCGCCATTGTCGGCTTGGGCCTGTGATCGCGGCTCAGAAGAAAATCCTGGCAGCTCCATGGAGCCGAAAGCCAAGCCACAGACGATCAGTGATACACTCATGACAGGTATTGAATATAACAGAATGCGGCGCCGACCAATCCTATCGATCAGCGCAAACGCCAACAGCGTAAAGAGAAAATTGGTCACAGCCACAGATAGAGACGTGAGGGTGGGCGAGGAGAATGCGAGCATGGAGAAAATTGTCGCCGAGAAATACATGAGACTGTTGAAGCCGCAAAGTTGCTGTAGTCCTTGCAGCATGGTTGCGATTATCAATGCTCTTCTGTTTCCGCCAACGCGAAAAAGATCTTGAGCACGCTGGGCAACTTTCCCAAGCCATGGTATCCTAGTCCCATCGACACTAGGTTTAATGCGGTCCATCTCTACTTCTTCTTCAGCTACCTCAAGCTGGATACTGCGCACGACTTGCTTAGCAATCTGATGGTTGTCAGACTGGCCCTGATAGACCCTGGACAACACATGGAGAGCCTCTGCCTCCAGCCCCGCCTGGACCAGCCATCGGGGAGTTTCGGGTAAGGCAACGACAATGGCGAATTGCAGCACAGCCGGGAGAGTTCCAAGGCCGACAATCCATCGCCAGCCACTGGTGGTTGTGGAGAATAGCCAGCCAACGATGTAAGCTACAACCTGCCCACCAGTGATGAAGAGACACAAGATAGTCACGAGTCTCCCTCGGGCATGGGAAGGCGCCAACTCAGAGATATACCTGGGGAAGATTATGATCAGCCATTTCGTCAAAGTAACGAACCGCTCGATCTAAGTCACGTAGTCTCGGACGGCCCATCTTCCTTCCTGGGGGAAATGGTTGACCTACAACGGAGTAACCAAGCTCGCAGCACCGACGGCTAGACCAACAACACTTCTCCCGAGTATCATGCCCCATACTTGGCCAGTAACGGCCTGTATCAAGGCTCCCAGAGTAAATAGAACATCTGCGACAAGTATAACTCTCCGACGACCGAGCTTATCTGCCAATATTCCAGCCAAGGGACTTGCCAATAAAGCGAAGAGACTCGTGCAAGATGTGATCAGGCTCTTGTCTAGGGTCGTTAGGACACGGTTTGAGAGATCAGAGCCGATAGACACGAGGGTCGAAGAGATGACACCTGTACTGTATAGGACGTATATGTCAGTTCATTTCATTTGTTGAGGGGATTTGCTGGATTTGTCTTCCGCAAAAAAGAGGTGTACAAAAGACCAAAGGACTTACTCATAACCAAATAGAAGGCCACTGATACCGGCTGAGAATGTCAAGGCCCAAACAAACAGGCTGCCTGAGTCCCGTAAGTCCAAGCTCAAGGACTGACTGACAGCAGCAAAGTGAGCGGTGTCATCAATGGCCGCTTGCTCTGGTGGAAGCAAAGGGGCATCGGGCGCCAACTCATCGTTTGCATCACCACGATTCATCGCTTAAGCTTCTTTCTTTCCACAGCTAGACATTGGTAGTATACTGACTACAGCAGACAGTGGTCTACTGCTGTCGCATGAGGTTGTCGATAATTGAAGGTAGATACAAGGCAGTTTATTGGTACTGCAGTGTGCATCATAATTAGTGGCTGCAAGCTCACGGTGCTGACAGCTGACGGATCCACTCCGCCCGTGTTTGAGATGTTTCAGCGGCGAGTCTTTTTTCTATGTACCATAGTAATCCACGAAGGCTAAAGGCCGATAAGATTAAGATATCAGCTTTGAAGCTGACTTGACTTAAATTTGGTCAATGTATGAATAGCTAATCAACATTGTCCCCTAATGTTGCGCCACCACACCAGCCTCATTGGCCTGGGAGCTGATCATCTTCTTGTAGGCATCGACAGTGCCATCAAACTTGTGTACCGTACCCTTGTCACAGACCCAAAGGCTGGTGCAGACATTCCGCAGCATCGTCACATCGTGTGATACCATCACCACACCTCCTTCAAACCTCTGCAACGCTTCAGAAAGTGCATCCATACCCTCAATATCCAAGTGGTTAGAAGGTTCGTCAAGCACAAGGATGTGCGGGTTAGTCAGGGAGAGGCAAGCGAATGCGACACGGGACTTTTGACCTCCAGA